ATTTGCTTGTACACATATCCCTTACATGTAAGAATCAGTTTTTGCGTTAGCTTGAATAACGGATAAAAACTAGTGGGATTTGTTAAAACTTGCCTCACCCTCTCTGCCGGAAATCGAACACTTATGAACTAAATATAAGTTAATAATGTCGCACGTTAATAAGTCTCTGTGAAGCAGGGTGTTGGAGCTGGTGAGAAGGGATGGAGTGGTAGAGGAACGAAGGCAATAAGGGATGGAGGTCGGACTGGTTGAGGAACTAAGGCAATAAATTATTACAAGTTTTATCCACTTATGGCAATCGTATCTGTTACAGTGGAGCCCCATTAATCTGATCACCAAAGGGCCACAAAAATCTGGCCGTATTATCGGGGTCGCCGAATTAAGGGGGTTCTTTAAAATAAGAAAAAGACTGACTGAGCTCTTATTCGGGCCAGAATAAAGTGGTCGTAACAACGAGGTGGCTGTATAAACGGGATGGTCGTAAGGCGGGCTTCCACTGTATATATACACTCGGATTCTGTTTTTGTGTTCAAATGATAGGTCAAGGTCTGTGCAAATCGAATCTAGAACTAGCTTCCGATTATCGCGCATGAGAGAACATGTCGTTGGATTCTGAAAAATGTTTCAAAACCCTGCGACATTCATAGTCACAGACAGCACATGACAATTTGATTAAATTTGTTCGCGATTATGGTACCGCGTGAACAGCGCGAGCTACAAAAATCCCAAGCGACAATGATATCACCGTCTAAATGGGCCTTAAAATCACTTTTATCAGCCAGTACTCACCCTGTTAAAATCAGCTCGTTCAATGCTATTCTGCGGTCTTACGACATAATCCTTGTTGGACGGCATAGGAACGCGGGCTCGCATCACGAAACCTTTGTCACCAGGCCTCACGGCTCTAAGAAAGAGATGAAAACGGATAAGTTGAGAATTTAGCACAACTGAAGAAAATGGCACCGTGTCTACTCACTTTTTTTCGCTCTGCAGAGCAGAATCAATAGACTTAGGCGTCTTCCCTCCGTCGCTATCTACTGAACTAAAGAAGAAGAAAAGAATCTTCAGACAGGGGAAGAAACCTAGTTAAAAGAACAAAAGTTAATAATCTGTCCAAAATTATTGACAAAAAACACTATTCCATAAAAGACAATTTTGACCTGAGTGAACAGAATCTTCTCAAGTATTAACAAAGTAAATGTCTGAGGAAATTTATCTCGCGACTTTTCGATTTTCTTTTCAAGCTTCCACTATCTACACAGACAATATTGCGACTTCTACCCTGAGATCTTTCACATGCAAATGCTTAAGTCATCTCTCTTGAAGAGAAAAATTCTACCCTCTGTTTCCGAACAAAGGTCAAAGATAAAGCCAGTGGCGGATCTAGGGAAGGGGCAAGCAAAAACAAAACGCCTCCGCGCCCCTCCCCCCTCCCCATTTAACTCAAGGTCTGGCGGCCCCAATAACAACAAACCTATGGACCATTTTCAGAAATTTACGGTTATCTGTAGTTGTTA